GGCGGGATGTGGCGCGGCACCAGGGAACTCAAGAAGGGGGTTCCTGCGGCGGCCGGTCATGTGCGAGAAAAACAGCTTCAGTGCAGGGGCCCTGTGCGCGCCCCCCCCTCCTCTCCCCGCTCCAAGCCGAACACGCTGCGAAGTGTGACAGGCGCTCTGGTGTCGCTCACGAGATAGCTATACTCTTGCTTTAAAATTGCTATACCTTTAAAAGCAATTCTGAGGTGACTTAGTAGTCCTGAAGTACAGGGTTGACACGGAAGTCACGCTCAAAGAGCTCTCGGGTTACCTTTAAACTTTACGACTTGGACGTTGCTCCGAGGGATTTCATGACACTTACCAACCCGTAAACACAATTTTTTGGAATGGGTTCCCTTGTTGTGACATTCATCAGGTAGCAACCACCAAATGGTGGCAGATCTCATCTATAGATATAAACTGGCACAGTGCTGATTTCGAATAGCTCTCTCTCCTTCCTGGTTCAGCGGGACTCGGTATTTTTCAGTTCTGCTTGCATTAAAAAAAAACTGATGCAAGCCACGGAAACAGATACAACTGAGTCTTTGTACACGTTACAAAATTTGTATGTTCAAGACAACATAAAGCAAAGCGTGCTGCTTATATACCACCCCATAATGCTTCAAGCACTCTCTGGGTGGTTTACAAGTTAATTATGCAGGCTACACATTATTCATTTTACCGACCTCGGAAGGATCGAAGGCTGACATACAGCTCCTATCTGTCATTCATCACAGAGGGCAAGCAGACCTGTGGATGTCAAGATGCTATTTAAAAGTTAGGATTGATTCGATTCCACAATGATCGAATTGGGTGCTGGATGCTTCACAAGAAACGATGTGTCTGAACCCTGAGTTTTATAATGGTTCTCTACCCTGTCTAGATATTTGAAGGGAGGACTATGGCTTATCCCAAGATTCTTTAACCAAGTCGAGTATGGCTGGTATGAAGGCCAGGTCGAGAGGTGGGGTTTTATCTTGGTTGATGTCATCAAACACCCCATCTTGTTTTGGAGGTGGAGGTTGCTCGACCTTGAGGGATTTTGCCATATGAAGCACTAATGTAAAGTCTTCAGAACATGAAGGAGGGTGATTATCTGCCACATCAGAATCAGGCGTGGGCAAGTTAGAGGAAGACTTTTGAGAGATTTCCAAAGGAGGCTTGTGAGTGTCCGAAGCTGCTGAATTCGAAGAGGGTGACCGGTGTCAAAGTCTAGATGCAGAAGTTCAGGTTGTCATGGCAGTAAGTGCTGATAAACCCCTGTTGGTGTCAGCTGGGGGGTCCCTTGTAGATGGTAGTGACTTGAAGGGATGAAGCATGGACCTGGGAGAGAGAGTACCACTAAGTTGAGAAAGAGAAGTAGAAGATGTGTGGGAGCTCTTGGAAATAGGTTGATTGGCGGAACACAAGGAGTTGCGTTTAAGAGCTGACTTAGAATGGAGTCGAATTGGCAGTATGGGTTGAGGTTTGGATATATGAACTTGATGCTGATGTTGGGGTGGTGATGGTGATAGCGTAGGTGAATGCGTATCAAACTCTCTTTGGTTCATCATAATAGGATGAACTGGCATATGGTTCTTGGATATAGTAGAACTCCCCATGTGGAGGATCTTGGAAGTCAGGTGAAAGGTGACGTCTCTAGATATATGTTTGCGAGGAGGAGATTGATGTGGAGAAGACTCTGAGTTGGAAAGCTGAACCATTGTTGCCTGCCCTGAAGATGCAGGGCTAGAATGGGGTGAGGCTGGGCTGGAGAGAACATCAGCCACCGAAGGGCCAAGACTAGGTGAAAGGCTCACAACAGAAACAGGTTTGTTTGTTTGTTTGTTTGTTTGTTTGTTTGTTTGTGTATTTATTTATTTATTTATTTATTTATTTATTTATTTATTTATTTATTTATTTATTTATTTATTTATTTA